ATTAACCAAGCCATCAAGATGAAAATGAGCCTCATCGAAATTCAGCCACATTTATGCAAAAACGGTCATGGAAAATTTCAACAAAAGAGTGCGTATGTGCCAGCAAAGCCATGTAGGCTATTCCATACATAACCCTATACTGTATATTTTATGAATCAATAAAAAATTTACAATTTTTAATTATAAACCTGTGTTTCCTATCAAAATTACTTCTTCCGTGAATTTTGGGACAGCCTTTACTTTCCTGACACTTGGAATAAAGCATCTTAAAGGAGGGGAACCTTCTTCTAATTCACACTGAGGTACCTGGCAGCCCTGACGTTCCAGATTTCCAAGAGTCCCTCCCAGTGGTTTTGGGGACAGATTTTATGGGTGAAAGTCAAATCCCTCCTCTGCTGAAATTTCTAGTGTGGCTCCATCACACACTGGAGAGCCCTCCCCGGACAGGCATGTAAGCAGTGGGAATTCCAGAATTTCTGGTGGGAGAGGCTTCATGTAGCGATCTAATTGGAAGCCGGGGGAGCCAAGGGACCCTACGGAGAAGATGCATTTGCAGGGCAAACATCCAGCGTTGGGTTAGCTGAGGGAGCAGCTGCTGGAGATGAGAGCAGTGAAGTCCACGCCCCTTAACCCCATCCCTGCAAACCAACTCCTTCTCAGCGGGGTCTCTGCCACTTCTCTGGCCTCCTGTCCCAGCCCTGCACCAAGTCAGGGCCCAGTCATACCAGCTCCTCAAGGTGGAATCGCTCGCTTACATTTGCACAAGATGCTTCTGCTGCTGGCGGGCCTGGGTCCAACTGCTCCTGCCCCACAGCGGTGCCCAAAACCAGCTGCCCCTCTGCCCGGCTGCCCGGAGTCACTGCTCCCTCTGCGGAGCCTTCCCCGATGCCCAAATCCGCTCCACACACACGTGATCACTCTATCCTGGTGCTCACAAGCATTTCATAGGAGTTCCTTTCTTTTTTTTCTTTTTCTTTTTTTTTAATATATTTTATTGATTTTTTACAGAGAGGAAGGGAGAGAGATAGAGAGTTAGAAACATCGATGAGAGAGAAACATCGATCAGCTGCTTCCTGCACATCTCCTACTGGGGATGTGCCCGCAACCTAGGTACATGCCCTTGACCGGAATCAAACCCGGGACCTTTCAGTCCGCAGGCTGACGCTCTATCCACTGAGCCAAACCGGTTTCGGCGATAGGAGTTCCTTTCAAGTATTTTTTTCTCTCTACATTCAAAAGAAATATTCATCTGTCCATTCATTTCACGGGCTCCTCGAAGGCTTCGTGCGTCTTACCAACCTTGGCAAACCCTCCCTGAGGGTCGATAGTTGTGCTGTGGGGCACTAAGTGTAACTGATCAGCATCTTCTGCGATAATAGAGAAAATGGTCCTTTTGAAGTCTACATTTCAAACCTGTGGCACATGCCACAAGCAGCTTCTAAATCCCTTACGTCCCAAGAGGCTGTTTTCTCCACCTGTCATGTCAGCCCCGAGCCTGACAATCTCTCAGTAACCGAGATGGAAATATGCACCGAATATGCAGGTGCAGACGAGAATAACGCCGGTGCTTGCAGGGCCCTGGATCAAACGGTCCAGCTGCAGTCTTCACACTTGAGGGTAGATGTTCACGCCCCTTTGGGAAGAGAGAGAAAAATCCCATACCCCAATAAGGCAAGCATGTGTCCCCGAGCCCTGAGCCCATATAGCGGGACAGCCCCCTGGGCGTTGCCGAAGCCTTTTCGCCTTTGTAGGCCTTGCTCACTGGGGAAACATACAGAGTATGTGGCCTTGTAACCCCAGCCCATAAGTCCTCGTGGAAAGTTGCCATTCTCAGGCATCAGGCATGCCCAAGAGCACAGTCCCCAGGGTGACTCTGGGACAGAAATATCCCAATTTAAAAATATTCTCCAAGTGGCTTATAAAATGTGTACAAGTTCAATTACTCTTGGCCCCCATGTGCTGCGGCAGCTGGCCTGTCTGTGTTTATTTGTTCCCCGGCTTGTGCTTATTCCGAGGGACGGCATTTGTCTCACTGTCTCCTCCACGCCAGGCAGGGAGCCCCTTAGACTAGGGGTCGGCAACCTCAAGTAAGTGGTGGGCCCCGGAGTGGGGGCGGTGGTGCTCCGGGGTGGAGATCAAAGGAGGGCTGATCCTCCTGAGGAGACGGGACGGGCTGGGAGGCAGTGGGCAGGGCTGGGCGGCAGTGTGGTCACCAAGGGAGGACGGTGTGCGCGTGTTTGCCCACCGGCATGGGAACAGGCCCGGGGCCACCTTGGTCCCTCCTACTGTAGATGGACAGCCTGCCTTCCTGTGTCCTTGGGGATGGCGTGGAGGGAATCGCTAGTCTCATAAGGAAGAGTGTGGAGGAGATCTGGCAAAGGTGACCAGTGATTTAAACAGCAGGACAGGACCCACACACAGAGGGCTGTCTCTGACTCCCCTTTGGCCGGCAAGGGGGCCTCAGGGTGGCCCAGCTGGGGGGCCGGGGCTGGAGGTGGGGATTTCTCACCTAAGGTTTTGGGGGATGTCAGCCACATAAGACATGCAAATGGACACTTATAAAAGGAAGGAGGACTAAGAGGGTACAATGAAGCCCAGCATCATCCCTCGGTCACCCCATGACCTCAGGGGCCCATCACACCCCCACTGACCGGAAGCGGTCCCGGGCCCAGCTGTGACTGTAGCCACCTCAAGTGCCCGTGGAGGGGCAGAGGGGCCAGTTCTGAAAGCCGGCCCAGATTATTTCCGTTAGCAAGCAATTCTCTGCTTCCCGCCTCTTCTTACCCTTGGTGTGACCCTGCCTGACCGTAGACCTCACTGTTCAGTTGGTCTGATTTCCTCCTCACCTTCATGCGGTTCGTTGTCATTTGTAAAGTCTGTCCCATTTCTGATCTCATCTGATGAACACAACCCGAGAGGTGGGTGGAGTTACGGGCCCCGTTTTGTGGGTGAGAAAAATGAAGCTCAGAGAAGTGCGGCGACTTGGGCAAGGCCCCTCAGCGAGTGAGCAGCGGGCCAGGCCCTGAACGCAGACATCTGACTTTGTTTCTGTTTGACATGTCAGTTATGTCCATAAATCACTGATAGCCACTTGAGTGTATATGTTTTTTAGTATTTAGTAAAAAGCATTTTATAGATAATGTATGTTTTAATTATCTATAAACAAAATGTGTGATGTTGTTAATGTACTAAGCACATTATACAACATATAAAAACATATTGTACAAGGGTGAAAAAATAAAATAGTTTTTTTAAACACCTGGGAGCCAGCATTTGTTGGTAGGAGCTGGGTACATGGAGATTTATTATTCTGACTGCTTTTCCATATGTCTAAGTTCTTCCATAATAAAACATGAGAAAAAAATAAAGAGCCCTAGCTGTTTGGCTCAGTGGATAGAGCATTGGCCTGCTGACTGAAGGGTCCCGGTTCTATTCCAACAAGGGAATGTACCTCGGTTGCAGGCTGGCCTTGGTCAGGGCACATGCGGGAGGCAACTAATCGATGTATCTATCTCACATCAATGTTTCTCTCCCCCTTCCTTCCATTTGCTCTAAAAATCAGTGGGAAAATATCCTCTAGTGAGGAGTAACAAAACAAAAACAAAACAAAACAAAAAAACAAAGAACACCCTGGCTGGTGTGTTCAGTGGTTAGAGCATTGGCCTGCACACCAGAGGGTCTCTGGTTCAATTCCTGGTCAAGGGCGTGTACCTGGGTTGCAGGTCATCTCTGCCCCCACCAGGGCACATGTGGGAGGCAACCAATCAATGTGTCTCTCTCACATCGTGCTTCTCTCTCTTCTTTCTCTCTCTCTCTCTCTCTCTCTTTTTCTCTCTCTCTCTCTCCTCTTCTTCCCTCCCTTCCACTCTCTTTAAAAAATAAATGGGCAAAATATCCTCACGTCTAGGGTGAGGATTAAAAAACAAAAAACAAAGAACAAAGAAATAAGAAAGAGCCCCAGTCAGAGAAAGACAACTATCATATGATCTCACTTATATGTGGAATCTAATTCTATATAATAAAAGCCTAATGTGCCAATTGTCCCCTCGGGCAGTCATTCAACTGGGAGTTCGACCACTTGCTATGATGTGTGCTGACCATCAGGGGGCGGTGTGGATCATGGTGAGTGTTGGCAATGAGGCACTGGCAGTGGGCGGCAGTGGAGGTGCTGCTGGCCCCGATGGGCCCTGGTGAGAGCAGGACCGTGGTGGGATGGTGGAGCAGGTGAGTGGGCAGTGCCAGGCCAAGGTGGGTGCAAGCAGGGGCCTGATTGCCCTGATTGCCTTGCCAATTGCCCTGCAGACGCAGATGGTAACCAGCGGCGGCGGTGGGGGCAGGGCCACCACCTGGCTCCCAGACACTGAGGGAGCGGGGGGTGGGGAGGGCTGCGGGGTAGCCGGCCCGATCGATCGCCCTGCAGGTGGGATGGTGGAGCAGGTGAGGGGGTGGTGCCAGGCCAAGGTGGGGTGCCAGGCAGGGCTGCAGGGCTGCAAGGCTGGGGACACAAACTGGGGCTGTGATGCTGGGGGCATGAGCTGGGGCTCAATCTCTGCAGGCCACCCCAAAGGACCCCACCCGTGCATGAATTTGTGCACCGGGCCTCTAGTGAACAAAATAAACTGATAAAATAGATCCAGAGACATGGAAGCATGGAATAGACTGAAGGATCTCAGAGGGAAGGTGGGAGGGGGGACAGGAAGAGATTAACCAAAGAACTTATATGCATACTAGAGGCCTGGTGCACGGATTCGTGCATTGGTGGGGTCCCTCAGCGTAGCCTGCTGGGATCGGGCTGAAACCGGCAGTCCAATGCTGCCTGCCGCTCCTGCTCATCCCGGCCCCGCTGCGCCTGCCACTGATGCCACTCGGTAGGCTCACTGCTGCTCCGCTGGGGTCTTTGGGCTGCGGTGGCCAGCTGTGAACCCTGCATCTGGCACCTGTCGGTCAGCTGAGTGGCACTCCTGCTGTGGGAGTGCACTGACCACCAGGGGGCAGCTTCTGTGTTGAGTGTCTGCCCCCTGGTGGTCAGTGCGCATCATACCAACCAGTCGACTGGTTGTTTGGTTGTTGGGTCACTTAGGCTTTTATATATATAGATATGCATAGCCCATGGACACAGACACTAGTGTAGTAAAGGCATGAGTGGGGGTAGGAGCGGTGGAGAGGATCAATGAAGAGGAAAAGGGCAACATCTGCAATACTTTCAACAATAAAATTTAAAAAAAGAAATAAGAAAGGG